TCCAATATACACACACACCCCTTGTACAGCCCTCGTACACCCCTCGTATGCCCGCCATCAGCTAGCCTCCTGGGCTGAAGAAACCCTGCGGACGATGGGAGCTGCCTCCCCTGGACATTGCCTTTCGCTGCTCGGTGTGAGGGTGCGAGGAACCTGCTGATGGGACTGTTTTACACAGGACCACCCGCTTCACGCAGGGGAAACTGCATCTGGTTGCTTCGATCTCCTGCACTGGGTCGTCTTCTCTTTGCAGAGCAAACAAGGGACTCCTTGATGGGTCTAGAGCTAAGCAGGGCGGCCCCAGAGAGAAACCCTGCTCACAAAACCAGGGCTTCACCCTTAGGCAGAGCTGTGTCACATGAGCTGCAGTGTGCCAAGAGCATGGAAAGGCCAGCTTTTAGCAAAAAGTCCCTCTGGCATGAACCTTACACACCTGAGACACACTCCCGAGCGTGTCTCTCCCGGGAGCCCAGGGCAGGAGCAACAGGCACAGAACTGGGACTCGAGCGAGGACCACGAGCATCTTCATGTGCTGGGAGACCCTACGGGCGCCACGGCAGCCTGGCACAGCCACGGCCAGTCAGCAGGGCAGCCTCCTTGCACCATCTGCCCTCCCTCACCCTGCAACACCCCTCCTCATTCCCCCCAGGACCCTGGGTTTGCTGGCAGCCTGGTTCTCCAGCATCACTAGCAGCAGCCGCAGCTTTTCCTGGATGCTCGGTGGATATCGCTAGCCCTGGAGGAGCCATGGGGACCCGTCCCTGAGATGCCTCTTCCCGAGGACCCTTTGTGCCCCCAGCCTTTGGGGTCTCCCAGCTCTGCTGCGAAAGAACTCAGGGTGCGACCCTGATCTTGCAGGGTGCGGAGCCGAGCCGGTGAGAGCCTGCAGGGTCCTGGCTGCGCCTCCTGCAGAGCCAAGGGAGAGGTTTCCTCCGCAAGCTGGGGATGCTCCATTCACATTCAATAAACCTGCCAGACTGCTGCCCGTGAGCCTGGGGACTGCAGCGGAGGCCAGGGCTAATCCAGGACAGCTGGTAGGCCAAGGCCACCTGATGGGCCAGGGACCGGAGCCCCCGCACAGCAGACATCGGTGGGGTGGTAGCAGGAGCGCCCGCAACGCCCTGGGAAGTAGCCCTGCGCGGCTCCGGAGCGGCCGGCCACGCCGGCGGCGGCGGCC